TCTTCTCCCCTTCCCTCCCCTTTCCTCTCCTCCCCTCCCTTTATTTTCCTGATCTTTCCTTCCCTCTCTCTCTCTGTGAATTGAATCACTCCAGTAATATCATATAAGTAGATTCATTCCAAAAAATGTTCACCATAATATTCTATTTACAAATACTGCTGCAGATTTCAAAGCCTCATTCTTTTTTTAAGATTAAAAAATATTACATTACAATAAATGGAAATAACACATGTATTGATTATCTATAGACAGACAATTGTTTATCCTTTTAGGCTATTATGAAGGGTGCTTTTGTAACTACTGGTCTACAGGTCTTGGGATCCCTGCTTTAAATCCTGCAATGCACCTAGAAGTGGGCAGCTGGAACAGGCAGCAGTTCTGTTACTGTTGGAGGAAAACCCACATGATGTCCTACACAGTGGCTGCACAGCTGGACAGATCCATTGGAGATGCAGGGAGTGGCTCACCTTACACATACTCACCAGCATTTCCATTTTTCATTTTTTTCTTTTACATTGTGTTTCTTTCTTTCACCCCTAATAAGCCTAAATTATGATACAGAAAGTCAGGTTCTAATTACAGGGCCTGACAGTATAATGAGAAAGGCACAGCTCCAGATCATCACCCTGGGAAACAGAAAGGGAAAAAGAAGCAGAGTGGGCATCCAGGTCAGCAGGTCACCATGGAAAACTGATTAACAGGCCGGCAACACCGGGCCTGAAGTCACATCGCTCACAGCCTACAAATGTACGGAGGTGATTCCCGCTAAAAGAGAGGCTGAGTGCTTGAAATACAGACAGGATAGGCAGAGAGGGGAAGGCACGGGAGGGGAAACAGAGAGATGAGCAGAGACAGATAGACAGAAAGATCTAGAGATGGACAGAGAGGCAGGAGAAATGCTGCATGAATGAAAACCATATTATTTGACCAAATCTTTTCCTCTAATTCTTTTCTTCATTTATCCCAAAGCCAAACACTACCATTGTGCACCAAAGGGTGTAAGGGTGCACCCTTCCCAGAGTGGTGGGGTGATGGGAGTGTGACCTGAAGTGTGTGCAGTAGAGAGGTTGAGGAGGGCTGGGCTATCTTCCTTCTTTCTGGGTTCATGTTCTTTCTTGCAAGGTAGAAGGTATTATATGCTAAGCACAAGGAAACTGGGCCAGGGGTAAGGCAGTAAAAATCCACAATTTTCTGTATTTTGTTATTAAATGAAATAATAAATACATAAAGTAAATCCTTAAAGAAATAAAATAAAGCATTAATGGAAAACAGACAAAATAAGGGAAACAAGAAAGGACAGCACCCTTTGCAAAACAAGAAATGTGAAAATTTAAAATTAGAAGCAGAAGTTCATATTTACAAGTGTGAAAAAGTATAGAAACCAACCTAATTAATGTGAAAAAATACACAAACTACTTAGTGACAAAGAATATTAACAAATATGTGGAAGGCACTGATATTTAAGAGAATTTTCTGCAGAAATATTTGCCAATACATTTTAAAACAAATCATTTTCTAAGCAATTAATTTAGTTCAATTAACAACAAAAAGAATAAACCCAATTAGACCAATAACCATGGAAGCGGATTATGTTCCCACAATTTAACTGTGACAGTGCAGTGGCTGTAACACTGCACAGCACCATGAACCCTTCAAACAGACACAGGAAGAGTAACAGAGTGACCAAGCTGCCCTGGGGACACAGAAGCAGGAAGAATAAAAGCAATGTGGCCATGCCATATCCAGGCTCATTAAGATTCAGGTGTCCATGCTGGCCACGTTGCAGAGTCATTCCAGGCAGACTGGGACCCAGCTCCAGGACATCAGCCTGGACACAGGACTCTGGCACTTTCTTCTCTCCTGTGGGATGTCACGGAAATGTGGTCTCTTCGCAGCCAGAAAACCAGTGCCATAAACAACTGGAGAGATGGCCCTGCGTTTGCTGTCCAGAGGAAGGTGAGCTTGGTCCTCCGTGACTCTGGAGTCACAGGTGATGACTGGTGAACCACTCAGCTGCCGCCAAATTCCTCTTTGGTTCTAACTGAGCAAAAGTGGGAACTTCTGACCCAACAGTCAGTAGAATTAGTGTGAATCTGCTCAGCCCAGCCCAAGCTACATTTACAGGAAATACCTCATTTGGAGTATAAATTAAAGGGCAACGTGTAAATGTATTAGCAAATTATATATATATATATATATATATATATATATATATATATATAAAATAAATTTGGTGCTTAGGGAGAAAGTTGATTTTCTGTGTTTTATTTGTTGTTTTTCTGAACTTTGAGAAACAATTACCTACAAAAGAACTCTCAAAATCATAATAAAAGTCACCACAGAAGGACGCACATGGATTGTTTTAAGAGCTATAACTGTGAGGTTATAGTGAAGCAGAATGTAAGTCCTGTGACAATTTTTTACTAAATGTGAAGTTCTTGAGATTTTCCACCTGAAGGTCCCAGGCACTGGGTGTCTCTCACCATACCTGAGACCCGTGGTGGGAGCACACTTCACTGGGACAGAGGAACACACGCCACATTCACCCTCATCCTCCACTTTATACTACAGAATCAGACTCCACAATCCACAGTTCCCCTCTCCTGCACACGTCCTTGGCAGCTCAGAAAAAAAAGCGTTTTCTGCCTCTGTCATGTCAGAAAGTTCCAGTGTAAGGCTTTCGATTTCTTCTAGCTCATTGTGTTTGGAGTTGTCCCAGTTAGAGGTCTGGGGTTGAGTTTTCTTCTGCTGCTTGTCATTTTTCTATTTTCTGTTTTTAGTTTCAGTGTTGGGGTTTGTAGATTGCTTGGGGCAGATAGCCTTATCACTAGTAGTGAGACTTCTGCAGGAAATGTCTATTCCTCAGAGATGTCTTCCGGGTGTAGGCTGATTTGGTGTTTCTATCTATCGCAAATCCTGCCTTCCCAGTGTATTAAGGATGAGAAGTTGATATCTGCTTGGCTTTGCATCCTGTACTTTGGTGCTGGTCTGTGGTGATAGCTATGACTCCAAGTAATCACAATGTTGTCATACACGGGAGAAAAATTGATTACAACAAGTGTGACATCCTGGTTGGAATAGGACAATTAGCAATAATGATAACATCAAGCACAGCCTAGCAACTGGAAAACTTTGGTTACTATTGATTTGGTAACTTAAGCCATGGGAGCAAGCTCTCCAGTTATATAACAAAATCTAGCACAAGCCAGGAACTCGTGTGCTCTGAGTTTCCACTTGGTAGATTGATTTTACCCCGTCTTGTGGGTATCTAAGAGGAAGAGGGGACCAAATAGAGAGATGAAGGAGGACAAATATAGTAGAAGCAAAGTGGTAAGGTAAGAATGACCACCCAAATCCTGGGGGCAAGCAGGAGAAAAAGAATGAAAGAGAAAGCAGAAGAATGTTAAAGCAAACCAGAATGAGCAGAGACAAGGTTCACTCACATGAAAGTATCATAAATGTTCCACATCACTGATCATTTGAGAGAAGCAAATTAAAACAACCCTGAGATTTCATCTCACTCCAGAAAGAGTGGCTACCATCAGGAAATCAACCAATAACTAACGCTGGAGAAGATACAGGGGAAAAGGATCTCTTTGCCAAGTTAGTGGGAGTGTAGACTGGTGCAACCACTGTGGAAATCAGTGTGGAGATTCCTCAATAAACTAGGATTAGAGGTCCCTTTCAGTTATTTTCCTTCTGGATATATTCCCAGAAGAACTGAAAACATCATAGCACAGTGACATATGTGCACCCATGTTTATAGCAGCACAATGTGAAATAGCTAAACTTTTGTAATAACCCAAGTGCTTATTAACAGAGGAAGGAATTTTAAAAGATGTGTTTCTTTTATGACATAAAGAAAGATAAACTTGAGACATTTCCTGGTAATGGATGTGCCATGAGACCATATTCTTAATTGAAATAAATTGGTCACACATGTGTAAATATCACACTGTTTCTCTGGTGTAAGAAACCAAAAGGACCAAGTATATAATAGTTATTGTGTAATAGGAAGACATTGTTCAAAAGAAAGGGCACCTAGGAAGGTGGAGAGGGAAAGGAAGGAAGAGACAAGAACAGTGATGAAAGAAGGATAAAATAGAAACAGCTTTGCAAAAAGGAGGGAAAGAGTGGTTGAAGGGAGGAGAGGGAATTGGGAAAAGAGGAATCAAGACTTATCGTGTGCAGGTCCATATTCCCTAAGTGAGTATGGTCACATATCTATCTAAATTGTACCAATAAACTTAATCAAAATAAGAAAGCAGCTAAAAGTCTATATTCCTACTTTATATTATTAATGGAAAAATGTATGTTTAAAGAAAGACAAAGTGGACAAAAGAAACCACACCCACAGGAACTGAGGTTAATTCACGGCGGTTCTGTTCACAGTCACACGCTTGCTCCCAATCGCTTCTGCGCATAGTAGCCATGACACTGTGGATAACTTCGATGTGACGAGAAGACTCTATTTGTCTAATAGTGAGCTTCATTTACATTATAAATTCTGTTTCTCCACAGTGGCTATAAACCTGTTCTCAGGGAGAGAACCTAGATCATCCTCACCAGTACAGTGGATTTTGGCTCCTTACCAGAGCATAGGAGGGCAATGCTCTGTCAGTGTCAGAAGTGAACAGGGGCACCGCCAGCGCTTAGCCTGGCCCCAGGGTCCAGGGGACATTCACCCTTCCTGCTACAGGGACATTTAGCAACAGCCCCTCCCTGGCTGTCCCTGTGCTCAACTGCAGAGCTAGAATGGAAATCAGATGGAGAGGTGTGGGGTCCTCTCAGCACACCGTCCCTAACCAGCGGGCTGTCTCTAAACCGGGTGTCAGCCTTCCAGCCAACGGAAAATGAAATGTTAGCTCCTCAACTGTGACAGCCAGCAGACTCTTGGCACTTGCTCTCTGTTTCCTCTCTCCCTGGCCTAGCGTTTCCATTTCCTGCATCATTTTTCTATTTTTATTATTAGTCTATTAGTGCATGCAGGAAATGCGGCATAACTTCCTCAATCCCACTTCCCTTGGCCAGAGAAGAGGTCTGGAGACAGTGCGGCCCTGACCTGCAGCACAGCTTGCCCTTGTCTTGAGGAGGAGGAGGAGGCGAAGTCCTGGCCCTAGAACTAGAGCTCACCTAGAGCAAGGCTTACCTCACAGAACATCTGGCACAGAGCCCATCTGGAGAGAAACACTGAAAAGGAGACCCTGCAGAACTGTAGAAACCCAGCACATAGCAGCGCATTCAGAGGTAAGTGTCTGAGGTCCCAGGAGAAGGATGAGTGAGGTTGTGCAAATATTTTTCTGAAATTAACAGATTTTGCAAACGACCTGATTTTCTGCCTGCATGCTTCAGGCCAGTCTCTACTCTGACTTTTTGCTCTCGGGACTAGTATGTTCCTGTTTGTTCTTATTCATTGCTGCCCCTAAGAGTTGTGGCCAGGATCCTTCATGGTGCAACTCCAGCCTAGGCTAGGCTGCCATGAGATGCCGTGTGCATTTCTGCCATATTAATAGTCCTTGTACAGTTAAACTCTTTTCAATGCTACCAACAATTTCGATGACCCTAAGAAAGTGTCCTATTAAATAGCTGACTAAACTTCAACATTCTCACCCTGATTTTAAGGCTGTCCACACATCTCTGCCTGATGCCCAAATACCCAGTGCTTCAGGCAAATTGTTTTGAGTGATGTTGCGATTTGCTGAAACAGCTGATGAGCTCGTCTGTAGGAGGCTTGCAGAGATACCTGAAGGGGGAAGGTGCTCGCTGGCAGCCTGATGGCTGGTGGGCTGGGAACAGAGGCAATCACAAGACTGTCAGGAAGGGAGCCACAGCACCAGGAAGCCAGCTAGTGGAGCAATGGTGGAGGAGAAGGGAGTTGCAGAGAAGGGCTGGGCCCTGCTCCTCACTGGCTCCTGGGGAACTTTCTGGAGAGGAAGTGCAGGGGGCGCTGTGAGCGCTAGCTCTGGTGGAGGTACTGACAGGCTATTTCTTTGCGATCCCCTTTTGAGGATCCACAGATACTGCAGGGTCCTCAGTTGCTTCAGGGGTGGGTGTTATGTTAGTGAGCATGAGCAGGGTTCCAGACTTCAGTTCCACCTTCTGCTACCCTGGGGGTCTTGCATGAGGACATTTTTTGGGTGTGTACAGTTTCTCCCTGAAGGCTCACACACAGGAAGGAGGTTTGCACCCGAACATGGCCAAGTGCAGAGGTAGCAGAGGTGGAGCCTTGTGGAAAATACAGTTTGGAACCCTCACTGTCATATGTTCATCAATGCAGACTCAGCGCCATGAGTCAAGGCTCAGGGACAGGGGCAGTTCCCTCAGCATGGGCCCTTTCCAGTGACCCTAAGCAGCACAGTGCTCTCCATCATGAGGCCTCGTCCCGGCAGAGCAGATTCTGGCACTGTGTGCTCCAGTCTCTGGGTCTGTGAAATAAACGTCCCTCTGTCTTCTATAAAGTACACAGCTTATAATAGTGATAGGGAAATCAGATAGAACATGAGAAGAAATGACATGGAGAAGGTTCAATAGCCCATTGGGCTTGACTTGGTTCTTTCTAAAGAGTCAGAGCCTCGCCCGGCAGGTTCTGGGACTTCTATGGGGAGATCCAGGGGGAGGTACTGGTGGGAGATTTGGCACACTTTGACTGCAGGGTGGGTAACATGGGCTGCTAAGGGTGTTTAAACATTTAGGTTATACTGCAAGGCCATTGGTTATACAAAGCATGGGTTATACAAAGAAAGAAACATCCTTTCACATTTTAAATTCCATTACAAGGCCATTAGTTAGAAAAGGTTACAGAAAGGAAGGAATTTCCTGTTACAAGCTTTCCTGGACATGGACATGTCCAGCTGGCTTTGGTCAGCTTCCTTGGCAGTCTCTCTTGGCAGGCTTTAGATTTTTAATTTCCATTTTAATAGCACCCAATGGACTGAGACAAGACACTTACCCTCCTTTACCCCCATTCCACATCTGCAGGGGTAGGTAATGAGTGCCTTCTTCCTAAGACTGCTGGAATGATTGAGTTACTCAAGCAAAGCAGCTTCACAATGCCCGGCCTCTCACTCAGCACCAGTGATGGCTTTTGTCTCCTCCACAGACTGCAGGGGGCCTGGAGACAGAACCTGGATGTGTGTCCCACATGCAGAGTGAGCTAGGCCAGGGTCCCCTGCTCCAGTGACATCTCTCATCTCATTTACACAACAGCAGTGGTCATCAACGCAAAGCCCACTGTGGAGGGGAACATGATATTTGTCCAAGTCTGCTCTGATTTTCCTTAAGATTCAGGTTTAAAAAAAGAGTTAAGATTTACGAGAAGAGAAAAGGAATTGGGGCAAGAAACAGAGACCCGATGATCTCACAAGTCAACCCGAACAGGCACTTCAATTTTATTTGATTCCTGTTGAGCTGCTTCCCCTTAAGAAGACACTTAAGAAGCCAAACTTAAGTGCAAGTTAAATCAGGCACCGGAGAGCGAGCTTCTCAAGTATTCATCCCACTTGACTTCCCTAAAGATCCTCTGAGTTCACATGGCTATGAACTGCTAGACTAGGAATTCAAAGTCGAGCTCCAGCTTGAGGTGAACAAAGATGAGGAAGTTATTTCCTGAGTCTGGGAAGTGATAGGGAATCAAATCAGAAGGTCAGTGTTACTAACTTGTGTTTTTTTCCCACTAATGTAGATGCCATAGAGAAAACTTTGATGTGAGGTAATAAAATAAATAGGACATTCAGGGGGAAAATGTTACCTGTTAGTGTGGGGAAGATGAGAAGTATTTATGTCCTCTGAATGAATTAGTGAAGGCTGTATCAGGGTCTGCACATCAGAACCAGCAATGCTAGCCGAAGGCGCAGGAAAGGTTCGTTTTCTGTGTCCATGTGCCATGTATGTGCATGCACACATGTATGCGTGTGTGAATGTGTGTCTGTGTGTGTGTGTGTGCATGTGTGTGTGTGTTGCTCTGTGTTACAGCCTTGGCAGGGTGAGGATGTAAGCTACAGGAAGCCCCTGATAAGTTATAAATAAGCCTCTGGCATGGAGAATGGCGATGTGGGGCCCTCAGGGTGATCTCAGAGCCTCACTCCCCTTTCTGGGCACGTCTAGGGGAACCCGACACACACCGCACTCGAAAAGTTTTCTTCAAGCTGGGGAACCTTGGAAAGTGAGGTCACCCAGGGTGTCAGATGACTGTGGAGCGAAGCAGCTGCTCAACAAAGGACTGGCTGGGTCTCCATCCCTCCAGGGACAGCAGGCGGCTGCAGCACCTGCGCGCTCTTCCCTTTCTCTCGCACTTCAACATAAGCAGAAGCAACCTTCCCCACGCCGTGGGGCTGCAGCCAGCTGGGTCACTGTGTCAGCTTAGCAAGCAGCACTAGGCCTCCTCTTTCCACCCCTTCACTGTTTCCTCCTCCTCCTTTGCACTTTCTTGTTGAGTAAGCCAAGCTGCCAGGTCATGCTTCTGCCCCATGGAGAGGCCACTGAACAAGACAAGGAGGAGAGCCTCTGGCCAACGGAGACAGAGACACAGAGAGAGAAGCACAGCCCACGAACTCAAAGCGTGTGTGGAAAACTGGACCCTTCCGATCAGTATGTGGGAGAACCTGGCAGTGACTCTGTCTCTAGCAAGGCCCTGAAGCTCCGGCGGGGACTCAGAACCACAACTCCATGAGCCTCCTCACCCTTAACCCATGGAAACTGGGGACAATAACCACGTGTTTGGGGGTAGTCTGTTATGCAAGAATGGGTAACTATTACTCAGTTGTGTTAGGCAGCTTCCTGGTGCAGTGAGAAAGGTTCAGAGGCTCTGGTCCAGGACCAGCCGGTCCGGCTACTCTGAGGCTGCGGTGAGGGAGTATGTCAGGGCAGGAGCTCGTGGAGATGCCATGTGCCCATCCCACAGTGTCCAGCAAGCAGGGGGAGGGACATGAAGGGGCGGGGTCCCCATCTCCCCTTCCAGGGTCTCCCCAGGACCGATGTGCCTTTCACCAGGTCCACCCCATAGAGGCTGTAACCCAGAGCCACACAGGCGAGCAGCCAACCTTGCTAAGTGAGCCTTTGGACACTAAGCCCCAAACAGCAGCCACCTAGGGACTCACATGGAACCGTCTTTGCTCTGCCCTGTGCTATTTGGTGGGGTTCCAGTTTCCATTGTTTTGTTTTTATTACACTTCATTCTGTTTGCTGGCTGGTTTTCAGTATTTTCAGTGGGTTACACAAATGTCCTTCAAACCAAAATGCTTATAGCAAGACCCATTCTCGCCTGCTCACTGAGAAGCATGGGGACCACTCACTGGGAAGCACGGGGAGCACTCACTGGCCTCTCCTGCTGTGAGGGACTTTGATGGGTTAGGTGGCCGGTCTCACCCCTCTTTAGAAACCATCTGTGACTCTTCTTTCAGGAGAACACATCTCGTCCTCCTCAGAGTTCACTGACTGCCCCTTTGAACCTTCTCCTCTGCAAGTGCACATCTCCCGACATCTGGAAGGAGGAATCCTTGTACTTCACACTTGTCGGAGTCATAGCCAGTGCGCAGTGTCTGACTGCACTTCTGGAGTGGGGAGCTTGCTTGTGAGCTCTTCTTGGCCTCCTGTGTTATGTCGGAGCTGGGACTTCTGGAAAGTGACTGGATCACGGGGTGCTGTACCTGTGATGAGTTTGTGGCTAGATGTGCTGTGAGGAAGTGGGGGCTGGTTGGAGGGGTCACTGAGGCACAGTCAGGATGTGATTCTGTCCCTGCTGTGCCCTTTCCTCTCTGCTTCCTGTGGCCATTGCACGAACAGCTTTCCTCCCCCTCCCCCTTCCACATGCCGCCCCCTGCCTCAGAGTCAGCCTATAAGGGGGATCAGAGAGTTCAGTTTCATGAATAAACATTTCTGTTCTGGCCAGAGTAGGTGAGCCATGTAAACCTCTCTGTCTTTAAAGTATAAATGGCAAGGAACTTTGTCCCCAGGACAGGAAAGTGGCTGCATTACATTTCTGTGACATTCTTATTTAGGGGTGACACCCTAGATGGAGGACTCAGTGCTCTTCATCTAAACCCTGATCTTCTCCATTCCCAGCCCCCTTAAGTACTGCCTGTACCATCGTCCCCACCTCATGGGTTGGCAGTGCCATCGAGGGGCACCCTCACTTGCTGGATTCTGTCACCGACAGTGGTCTCGGTCCTCGGCCACGCCGTGAACACCTTCACTTCCCTCCTCACACCACAGGTTCCCACCCCACCCTGCCCCACAGCCCCACAAAGTGC